TAACTCTTTCCTGACTGAACCCGGCGCACCATGCCAGAGCAGGCGGCTGTGCCCAAAGATCCTGTGACCCCGTGGGAAGCCCGTGCTGGAGCAGGCCGCTCCTGAAGGACTGCACCCTGTGGAAAGGACCCACGCTGGAGCAGTTAGTGAAGAACTGCAGCCCCTGGGAAGGACTCACGTTGGAGAAGTTGGTGGAGGACCATCTCCCATGGGAGGGACCCCACACTGGAGCAGGCGAAGAGTGTGAGGATCCCTCCCCTGAGGAGGAAGGAGCAGCAGAGACATCGTGTGATGGACTGACCGTAATCTCCATTCCCCCCTGTGCCACTTGGGGGGAGGAGATAGAGAAACTGGGAGCAAAGCTGAGCCCAGGAAGAAGGGAGGGGTGGGAGGAAGGTTTTTAAGATTTGTTTTGTTTTGTCCCTCATTGTCCTACTGTGATTTGATTGGTAACAATTTAAGTTGTTTTTTCCCCCCAAGTCGAGTCTGGTTTGTCCATGTCCATAATTGGTGAGTGATCCCTCCCTGTCCTTGTCTCAACCCATGAGCCTTCTCTGATGTTTTCTCCTTCCCACCTTACTGGGGAGGAGTGAGTGAGCGGCTGCATGGTGCTGAGTTGTTGCTGGGCCTAAACCATGACAGATCGTAAGCAAAACCAAACACGGATTCCCTTTTTGTTAAGCGGCTGCACCTGCAGAACAGGACTCCCCTCACCTTTCCTGGTTGTGTGATATCGAAGCTGGGCAGCACCTGGACTGGCCTGTTTTTCTCCATTGGCTGTAAAGGATCCCAAGTTAATGGAGCTGATTATCCAATTGATAATCCTTGTGATTTAGGGCCATCTTTGGTGGCTGGTGAAGCAAAACAAAGAAATTACATGTGGTGAAGGCTGATTCCTGACACTTCTATGGATACAGGCAAGAATTCCCACTCTTTGAAGACAGAGCAGGGAGTGACAGAGGGAATTTTGGACACCTGAGGAAGACTGAAAAACTGTCAGAGCAGCCACCTGCTTCAAGCTTCAGATACACCCAGGGGGACGCACAAGCCAAGAGGACACGTTACAGATAAACTGTGTCAGACCAGAGGGTTATCTGCCTACGTGTTTGTCCAGCATATATTTTGTTAATGCCATACGCAGAAGTATAGGCTCAACCAGAAAGGTCTGAACCCTCTACACATACACCTGGGAAATGTGTGGAGGTGTCACATGGAATGTAGAATTCTTCCCACTGGCTGTCCAGGAGGATCTTCAGGGTATTTATAAAATTTGGCCCAGGAGAAAGAGCTGATTTATCAACCACATTGGTATTTTGCCTGCTGAATCACAGATGTCACGTGTAAGCAGTTTGGTAGCTGACCTGGGTCAGTTAGGCTGCCGTTTGCCACAATACTGAAGCCACTGCTGGGAATTTACTCAGGTTTGGAGAGAGGACCTCCTTCTGCGCCACGTGTTGTGCCGTGCTCAGTGCGAAGGGGATGGGTCTCTCGCTGAGACTGCTGCATGTGACCCTGAGATCTCTTTTTGCAGAAAGTCACTTCTAGCATGGAGCTGAAAGCCAGCAATGGAAAGACACTTCCTGCCCTGACGGTCTTTTCCGAAAGCCTGCGCTACCTGAAGGAACATGCCCTGAACACCATCCAAGAGGCCTCTTTCCAAACAGTCTGTGACCAGGAGGAGATCACCTGGGTTGTTACCGTCCCGGCCATATGGAACTCGGCTGCCAGGCAGTTCATGCGTCTGGCGGCAAAAGAGGTAAAGGCAGGGGTTATCCGGCTTCCTCAAATTATCTTCAGAGATCTCTTTATCCACTGAGGCGAAAGAACTCCTCAACATTTAAACAACCTGTATTTCAGATTTCCATCTATCAGGGAGAGAAATCTCCCACGTTAGGGATGGCGGGGGAGAGGATGTCCCAAACTGGCAGTAACAACCGCTTTGCCCCTTCCCCCCAGCCCCCGTAGAAATGAGCCCTGTGGAGATAAGCGCTGCAAGAACCACCACCCCAGTGTGGTCTCCTGGGGTGATAACAGCCTCCCTACATGTGACATTCGTGCAGCCTCACCACCTTTCCTTCAACCGACGCTTCTCTCTTGTGATTTTAGGCAGGACTTATCTCTAACATGACTTCTGAGAAGCTGATTATTGCCCTGGAGCCGGAGGCTGCATCGCTCTGGTGCAAAAAGCTTCCACAGGAAGGGTTTATGGCAGACAGCAGTGACAAGAAGAAGTTTGAAGACTCCCCTGGGATCCAGTATATTGTTGTTGACTGTGGAGGTAAAATTTTTGGTGTTTAACCGGTACCATCTTCGCTGGGTGTGGAGCATGGCTGTTGCGCAGTGTCTGACACAGCGTGTCCCCACGTACTGCAGTGCAGCTTGGATTCCACTGCTGTGCTTGTCGTGGGGTTTTTATTTTCATTTCTCACTTAATGAGATCCATGGACAGGCGGAAAAATGGGAGGAAAAGACAGACCAGGCTCCGTGTCCCAGTGGCAGCCACTGATGTGCACCAATATGCTGTTGTACAGCCTGAGCTCCCAGCTTCCTCCGTAGGCGCAAGCGTCGTGCCCAGTGAACTGACCGAAGGGATTAGCTAGCAGGCCCTGTAGAGTCAGTTAGTTGTTAAGAACATTTGATGGACGTAATCCATCAGATTAGTAATTTCTCTAGTTTCCCGTGCAAGTTTTTTGGGTGTAACGTGAATTTCCTGCCAGAAACAGTCTGGTAAATGTAAACAAATACTGAAAAGGCATCAAGAGGACCGCAAGTTTCTGAGAGTCTCACCACTGCCGCTCATCTTAACTCGGAGCGTGTCTATCAAAAGGCAGGAGTCAACTATCTGTGAGGAGGCCAGTCTCCTTTTGTGATCAGAAAGGCAATCGGCTTGTGCAGGGAGCAAGTCAGAGCATCCAGCTCCCAGCAGCAAGTACTGCAGGTGCCTTGAGAGAGCAGCCTTGTAAACAGAAGTGCCTAGACTTAGGAAATCCAAAGGTGTGCAGGTAGTAGCAGGGGAGTGAGGATGAGAAAAGAAAGCAGCCGAAAAGCACACTTGTGGACCAGGAGTTGAGAAGGTAAGATCATATTCGGTTCAAAGTAAGGACCTCATGTACTTGGAAGAAATCAGCTAACTTGGTTTGTGTGTGTGTGTAGGTGGCACAATAGACATCACGGTACACGAGATCCAAGAAAACCACTACCTAAAGGAGTTACACAAGGCAACTGGAGGTGGATGGGGAGGCAACAGAGTGGATGAAAACTTCACCAATTTCCTCAAGGAAATATTTGATGATGGTGTATGGGATGAATATGTAAAAAACCACCCTACCGAACTACAACATATGATGTACAACTTCAGTCTACAAAAATGCTCTACTAGCAGGGAGGACGTCTACATACATTGCTACTACAACTTGACCAGAGTGGCAGGGTGCAAGAAGGACATCTCCCATTTCTTCAAAAAAGCAGACGGAGCTGTGTGGCGTGACGGAATGATCATGATTACATGTGAGAAAATGAAGAGCTTTTTTGACTACAGTATCAAAAATGTCATTCATACTGTGAGGGAAATTCTTGACAAGCCTAGGATGGCCAAGGTCCAGTACATTTTGCTTGTGGGAGGCTTTGCGTCCAGCATCATCTTGAGAGATGCGATCAGTCAGGCCTTTAGCAGAAAGTATCATATCCTTTGTCCAGCGGACGCCCAAGTGGCCATTGCAAAAGGGGCTGTTTTATTTGGAGTCAATCCACACATTGTTGCCTCAAGAGTCAGCGCTCGAACATATGGCTTAGCAGTAAGTAGTGAGTTTGATACTGCTATCCATGATGTCCGTAAACTAAGGGTCTCAAAAGCTGATGGCTGTATTTATTGCACAGATCTCTTCAAGAAATTGGTGGGAATTGATGAGTCGGTGAATATAAATGAAATTGCCCACTATAATTTCCATCCAACAGAACCAGATCAGACAAGTGCCTGCTTTTCCTTCTATTGTACAGAAAAGCAGGATGCTCAGTACGTAGATGAGGAAGGGGTGGAACTGCTTGGCTCCTGTACAGTGCCAATGCCAGACACAAAGCTGGGGAAGAAACGTCAGCTAGAACTGGATATTAAATTTGGGCTGACTGAATTTAAAGCCACGTGTACTGACACTACTTCCAAAGAGTGTCGGGTAGTTGTAATAGATTTTTTAGCTGTGTAAATGCTCGGTACATTGAACAGCAGGGACAATAACTCAAGGGAGAGCACGACTGATGCAAGGCAATAACTACTACAATGAGGAAGGCAAATGGACCATAAAGTCCATTATCCAGCCGCCTTCTCACACAGGTAAGTAGTTGACTCATCTGATTCTCTCGTTTCTTCCATTCCTCATCAACCACCCTTTCCATCCAACACCTCTCTTTCGGTTGCATCTGACAGCAGGTTTATCTGCTGCTTTATCTCTTGCCCATCTAGCTTAGCCCAGTGGCATCTCTGAACACCATAGCCCATGCCACCACTATCATCATCTGTGCTCTGCCTGTGTTTGACAAAGCTGCCGCACTCGTGTTTAGCTTCCACATATACCAGCCCATAACCATTTCTTTTAGCCTGACGTCTTCTTTCAGCTACATCCTCTTTCTCTGATATCAGGTCTCTTCATATGGAGTCCAGATATAACTCTGCCAGGGGTGACATTCAATGGATTTGAGTTTTCTTCAGAACATCACTTACACGGAGTTTGTGTAATTAAAGGTGCTCTTGTCCCAGTCAAGATATGCTGTGAAAGCAGTAACTCACTGTAGCCTGGGGCCTTGTATCCAAAACCCGTGGGAGCGTTGCTTCCAGTAAACCATTGGGTGGTTTGATCCCATTAACCGGACAAACACGAATGCCAGATTGTACCATTACAGATATGAATAATGCTCATGCCACTGCCTGAGCCCCTCTGTCCAGCTGTGGGTACTCCCTACATCCGTGACTTGGGCTTGCTATTCTCCATGCACATAAAACTCGGGTCTTTGCCTCCTGCCGACAACTCCTCTGCACAGACTCAGCACAGCGCGGCCTGCGTGAGCCCAGATTCGTCCAAGGGTGTGAGCCTGCCGCGTACAGTGTCTGCCTGAGGTGGAGTACACGTTTGTCACAGCTGCCTTGTGCTGCTGTGCGATTTACGACCAAAACGGTGTTGCTGGCACACCAGCGTTCTGCGCTCGCACAGCGGCAAAGCCCTCTCTGCCCCTCGCTCTGCCCCTGCAGCCAGGAGGCTGCCAGTGGGAGGAAGAGGCTGGGAGAGGACACAGCCAGCGCAGCTGACCTCGACGGACCAAGGGGATGTTCCATGCCTTGTAGCCTCACGCTCAGCAACAAAACCGGGGGGTGTTTCTCCAAAGTAGCTGTTGCTTGGAGACTAGCTGGGTGTTGGTCTGGTAGTGGGATGTGGTGACTATCTCTGCATCACTTGTTGGGCAGGGGGTTGTGCTGTGGGGTTTTTTCCCCTTCGCTAAGGGTGTAGAGTTTCCC